GGATGATTGCAGGTCTATATATTAGAGTGATTATGGTTTTGTTCCAAAATATCATATAATATGATGTCGAAATGGGAAGAGTAATGAAAGTTTAATGTGAAAATGAAATTGTCACCAATATCAAGTTCTTCGTCGTTGGAAAGTTTGTGATAACAGTATCACCTTAAGCTGATAAAGGCTTGATATTATTTAAGTTTTTAACAAAAAAAATCATAAGGAATTTCAGAGGGGTTTTTTTCGAAATTATCAAAAAGTTTCATCAAGCAATTTCCTTTTCATTTTTAGTAGTTTGTGTATAAGCTTGTTCTTTGATGATCGCTTGTAATTTAGGATAGCTCAAAGGGACAGAAGGATAAATTGAAGACGAATGAGCATTATTTCATTTCCTCCATCCATCTCTTCAGCATTCAAATAATGTAATTACCGGATGGACAACTTGACATCGCATTATTGTTGCCGATTGCTTACAAATACAAATGCACCGCCTGGCATAAAAATTATAGATCTACCACAATTATTATCTGGTAAATTTGCCGAAATTTAATGAAATTTTTATTTGATTATGGCAAATTTTTGTTGCAATTAAAGGAATACACAAAACTTTCTGAAGGAACCAACAATATAATACACTTTGTATAGTTGTGGAAAGCCAAGAAGGATATCTAAAATAGAATTCAAAAGTATTCAAAATATTTTAGTCACACGAGATCTTGCAAATACGTCTTATAATGCATATCATCTAAAAATGATTGATTGCATTATAAGTCCTGATACATAAAAGTAAAATATATTATATTCAATCTTACTATAAGTTTGACTTTACCAATGATTTGAATGCAATAAATTTCATATGGGCTTAAAACTGTAATTGTTTGAGCTAAAGTCTTATCTGTTATTTTTAGATGAAGAAAAAAAAATATTCTGTGAATTAGAATGTCTAATGAAATTGTAAATTGAGCCCTGTGCCTTAAAATGTGTTGTACGGACTGATGAAATGATATTGGCTACGAGCGCTGACCAGGTTAATCACACATTAGGGATTGAATTTTAATACTCTTCAAATCTCGTATTTGAAAAACAGACAAAAGTAAAATAAGCCAAGTTGCGAGAGTTCAGCCATCAATTCTAAGCAGCAACTTTTTAGTAACTGTCGAAGAAATGTGTTAACCTCTTTATTAACTTGGTCCTAACCACTTCATCAGTGGAGAAGAGGATGGTAAGTTACATTACGGTGGCAAAAACAAAAAAAACAATTATAATAAGAGTTACTCTAATAAGGTTAGGTTTGCTTGGTTAAAAATCGGGCTTAGCGAGATATTTACTCGAGGTCAGGCAAAGTTTTGATACCATTGGAAAGAGCACTTTTTCAAACTTTTTCTTGGAGCATAGTCCACTGCAAGCGCTTGGTCAAATGCCAGGAGTGGTCATCCATCATTGACGTCTATGCCTTATGACAGCCAATAACATAGCAGCGGCCAAATGCTGTGCGGTGCATATAAGCAGCATGCTTTCACTTCTGCTATGTCGATGTTGCCACCGTTGCCACCTACCTTCCTCTCGAGCAATATCGCCTGCTCTCTGCTTCTGCTCTGTGGCTCTTTACTTCCTGCTTGTTGCTCCTGAGCTAGGCTACCCATTCTTCTACCATACTGTAGCATTGTTCGGTTCGGTGCTGCATTCCTTTTACATTACATCTGTCATATTAGGCTATCCGATTGATGCTGCTGATACGACAACTTTCAACCTTTTATGGTTTAAAATTTATCATTCACCGTATCAATCTAATCCAATCCGATCTTCCTGAATATCGTGAACTTCACCTTTGAATTCTTCATAACTTTTCTTCACTTACTATTTCAATCATTTCCTAAATTTGTTTTGTTTTTACAAATAATTATGAATTCCTCCGAATCGCCAACACAGCTAAGTTCTAGCGAGCAACTTCAAGAACAACCACTCAATTTTTCAACTAATTCCACTAATGATAATATAATGTCAGCAGCAACGACACTTTGGAAAGGTATAAATACGACAGAGACAATTTTTTAATAAAATATGTACAAGGAAACTAAATTCAACCATTTAACAATTATTCTGATGTAAATAAGACCATATTTAGTACCATTGACCTATCTTTTCTTTCATTATGAAAGCCATTTTTTCAGCAGAACTTGAAATTTCAAATTTAGGACAAACTGAGAAACACAATTTTGTTGGTCAGTGCAGCACTGCAGCTCCCGACATGAACGCAACTTCAGTTCCGGTCCCAACTCCAAGATCCCTGTTCACTTATCAACCCCCAATATTTATGGCACCAGGATTTTTGCCATCATCTTATATGTCCTCATTTGCTGCTGCAGCTGCGATGTCAGCCGCGATGAATGCCGCGGTACATCGTCTGCCACATCAGTTGTAAGTTGAGCATTTGAAACCTGATATTTAAGAACTTTTAAGATTTCTGGAAAACTCTGCTTGAAGCTTATAAAATTTTCCTCAGAAAAAGATTTGCCACTGAAGACATTCTGAATGTTTCGCAAAATTTATTCAAATTAATTAGTTTATGAATTTCAAAAGGTGTACGTCTTGTAGAGACTCTTCCTGTTCAAAATCAAAAATTGATGAAATCTGAACAATTTTTCTGATACTTCCCAAAAAATCTCCTCAAAATTGCAATTTCTTTTTAAGATTTCATGTCATGCGAAGTTCCTTTTTTTTGAAGATCACCAATGAATAATGGTGTGGTAGAATCGGATCCAGCAACAATTTCAGTAAATTCGTTCTGTTCAATGAACACAGCACAGAGTCCGGCGCCAACATCGCCGGCACTTTCCTGTGCCGTTTGCGGTGATGTATCTAGCGGAAAACACTACGGTACTTCGTTTACGTCTTGATTTTTTAAGTTGAATCTCAATTAAAGAGATAAGAGGTTCCGAAGTGATGAAGCGGTTATGTTCCATATTTCTTGGCTCTTTGAATGAATGGTGCGTAAAATCTGTTTACAGGGATTCTAGCATGTAATGGTTGCAGTGGTTTCTTCAAGCGAAGTGTACGACGTCGGCTAATTTACCGATGCCAGGCTGGTACCGGCTCCTGCATTGTTGATAAAGCGCATCGTAACCAATGTCAGGCTTGTAGGCTTAAAAAATGCCTCAATAAAGGAATGAACAAAGATGGTATCATTTTCTTCCAAATTACCATAAACCAGCACCTTTATCGTAATTTTTGCGAATTAATGGCATATTTAGCTGTACAGAATGAACGACAACCGCGTAATACAGCAACAGTTCGTTGTCAGAATGAAACGGATTTTTCGACATCTTCGGGTTTTTGCAAGTAAGTAACATTACATCCATCATATAAAACAGTACATTTGTCAATATGATGCAATAATTGTCTTACCTTTTCAGATCGATTTTTCCATTAATTTTTCTGGTCAAAAGAGCTCAAAATTGTTAACTATTCACTCTTTTGAGAAATCGGAAACCGAGTCTAGATAATTAAGAAAAGATGTGTGAATCAAAAAAACAAACAAAATTTTGAAAATTGGGAATTTTGCTGTACTTACTTTTGACTTACTGACTTCGTACGCTACGCTTGCAGTGTTTAATTCAACCTGGCTTTTTTTTAATACAATGTATTCGCTTAATTAGTAAGTATGATAGTACGGTAACCACGGCACTTTGTGTGAATGGCGAAATACCAGATTCCACTTCCGGTGCACTGATAACAAAAGGCTCTTCCCCGATTAGTGATTCCGGCAAACAGGATTCTTCGGAGGTTAGTTCCTTGTACTTATTCCTGCATCTCGATAGGTTCTTCTTTTCAAGCTGAATATTGCTAATGAATTCAATGATAGACATCTCAAATATTACTTTTGAATCATTTAGGTATTTGGTAGTGAAAAAATCGATGAAATTCGACGTGGCGTTGAGAATGAAAGTGTTCAAGAGGCTTCAACAAGACTTTTATTCTTAGCTATTAAATGGGCTAAAAATCTTCCATCATTTGCGTCACTGTCATTTCGTGATCAGGTGAGATGGGATTATAATTTCATCATTTTTGTGATTTTTCAAAAAAAGTATTGAATAAGTTGCTTTCTATTTTCAAAATATGTGATTAATCCCCGCCCGTTATAGTTGAAATTGCTGAAAGAAAACTGGTGCGATCTTTTCCTTCTCAGTGTATTCCAGTGGTCACTTCCAATGGAGAAATGTCCCTTGTTGAACGCTTTGCAGACTGACCCGTCCAGTTTTCGTTACTTGAATGATTTATTCTTTCGGATTCGTACTTATGGCATCGATCATGGCGAATTCGCTTGCTTAAAAGCTTTAGTGTTGTTTAGGCCAGGTAAACTTTTTCAGATATTCGTTGTGTTAATATGTTTCAAATTTCAATTTTAATTCTAAATTCTATCAAATTTCAACTTTAAGGAACTTGAAACGATAATACTAAAACATCATGAAAATGGGCAGTCAAAAATGAGATCTGCTCCAAATAGAAATAAACGAAGTTCTGGTCCCAATAATTATTGAAAATTTTTAAACTCACTTTTTTCAATTATTTTTGATGTTGCTGAAACAAATTTAAATTCATTTTAAATTATGCAAAAATTTCAAAATGCCATGAAACTGTCAAAAAAATTAGAAATTCCCACAAAAATAACTTTTTGAATATCACTAAAAATGAATTTTCTCATTTTTCGATGAATTTTCATTCCAAATTCTTCACAACATAACTATTTCCTGCATTTTAAATTACAATAAGAAAGAAGTTTGTTTGAACTTCTAGACGTTTAAAATAACTGTGAGCTATTTAGTCCAATGACTGGGAAATCTAAAAGATGAAGCGATAAGGACACATATATATTCGGATCTTTCAGTTTCTTATCCTATCATTTGCCATTTTCCGTTACGACATCTGTGAGCGTCCATTTCTTTCTCTTCTATCAGCCTTACTGTTAAGTTATAGCTAACTATATTCAGTACTCTCTCCTGAATGCAATGGCTATTTTGCAAATTCTGACTTCAGTCATTTCTGGGCGGCTTTGTTTCCACTTCTATAGGAGGAATATTTCAGCTTAACCTCACAACAAAAAATCTCTTGCATTCTTATTTCTGATAACAATGACCAATTCTTATTCATCTACTGTATTTATCCTACAAATAGTAATAGTAAGTAAACAACAAAATTAAAGTGTAATTAATTTAGCGCTCAAAATTTGATTTTGGATTGATTCGACTATAAGATGAGATGATGTCAGTTTCACTGGGCGATTTAATATCCATTTAAGGATTGGATGAATAAAAAGGGAGGAGAAAAGGACAAGAAACAAAAGGGAGACATTGTAAGTGGCAAGATAATTGAAGCAGCGGCAGCCTAAGCTACAGTAAAAGAAAGGGTGAAGTAAAAAGCTAATTAAATGTACTCCCTTTTCTCTGCCCTCCCCATTTTACTGGATAACATCTTCCCTCTTTTCTTAAGAGATTTAATTAAAAGTTGTCAACGTGTTCATCCAACCCTTTCCCCTATTGAAAGTATTTTCCCCAACATAAAGGTAATAAGTAATTTTAATAAATGTCTACTTCCTGAATTTTGACTAGTTTGTAATTAATTAATTGATTAATTTATCATAAGTTTATTTTTCCGAAAAATTTGTTAACGTGCAAGGTACTTTAAAAGTTCTTCAGTTTTCGTTTTATGAAGTATTTGTTAAGGTTACACTAATTCAGAAAAATAAATAAAACATAATAAGTACGAACAATACGGTTGGTAAATTAATATCTTAAAAATTCATTTTACATGTTTGCCCAGAGAATTTGACTTTGTTTTGGTAAAAGCTTAAGTTTTCAGTTGCTAGGTTTTTGTATCGGTTGAATATTTTCATCTTACAAGCTTTTTTTTGACTTTGAAATATCAATGTTACTGTGTACCAATCTACAAATGCTTTAGAAACAAGAGGACTGAAGAATTTAGCTCAAGTTGAAGATCTACAAGATCAGGCACAGCAGACATTGGCCAGGCACACAATGAATTCATCACCAGCAAGGTCTTCCTTTTTTACATTCTTGGCAATTTTTAAGTAGTTGGTTTTCAAATCTTACATTCAGAATTTTTCACTTGAAGTCGAATTTTCACTTTTTCTTCTAAACAAGCACATTTGACAAGTTTGAGACAAGTTAGCCAGATTATTTGCCAAGATCATTTTATGAATATTAAGCACACACACGACAACAACAACAACAGCAACAGATAAAGTTGGAATATGATATATCTCAATTTTGTTCAAAAGTTGCTATTGCAGATTCGGCCGATTACTTCTTCTGTTACCGCTTTTGCGGACTATAAGCGCTGAAAAAATAGAGCGGCTGTTTTTTATGGCTACATTTGGGAACACATCGTTCGACCAAATCATTTGTAAAATGTACAACGGATGAGTGAAAATAATGTTTTTCAAATAAGTGTGCGTTTTTTTTAAAGACTTTTTTCCCAGCCTATTAAACTTTCCACTTTTTTTAAATTGAAAGTAGTGATTTGAAGAAGTAACAGCACCCTTCCAATTTATGCAAGACCAAATCAGTTATCAGCAACATTTTCCACACCATGTACAAAGTCCTCTCCAAATCAGCAAATGTTGGAACGAATGTAAAAGCTCTGGACTGAACTCTGGACTGAAAATTAACGATTAGTCGCATGAAATTTAGGAGGCATTAACACTGATCTCTATTTTTGGGGAAACCATAAGTTGAAAATCAGAATTTTGTACGAACTAAGAATAAACTGAAACAAAATTTAATCATGCCTGGTGAGTGATATGAACCAAAACTATCAGTGACGAATGTGAACTCGAATTCAGACAATTTTTCATTTGTCCCACAGTATTCATCGTGTCCTTAAAATAAAAAAAAAGAAAAAACTGCAGCAAATGGAAGTGAAACAACGATTGGGTTTATAACGATAAGTTATATATTCCATATATCACTAATTCAGTCACGCTCAATTACCGCCTCGGGAATGTGTCACGCAAATATAGAAATTCATTGAGAAATATGCACTCATCGCATGATGATATGTTGTTCCAAGTCATCATAATAGGAGAAACAGCCAAGCTTTTGATGGAAAAAGATTCTTTCTCCCTTTCTAACAAATCTTTCCGTTAATTACTAAGTGAATGTTGTCGGGAAGTATTCTTTCTGTTGCCTTAAATGTTACTGAAGGACGGGATCCTGAGAAAACAAACATTTGTTGAAGCATTTCCTATCTGAAATTAAGTTTAATTTTTTTCTGGAAAACCATGCAAGAATTTAGTTTTAATTGCTCTCAAATTTATTTAGCAATAATGTCAAAAATCACAATTCCTTTAACTGTTTATCTCTCAAAAACACTTAAAAATTTTAACATTACAAAAGTGAATGAAAATCAAATAACCAAAAATCATACTGGAATAAATGAAAACCAAATAATCAAAAATCATAGAAAATAAAATTCGCCTTTTGTCATTCAGAAAAACCACTGATTGCAATTCACGGAAATTTAATAAGCTTTAAATAGTTTAAAAATATACTTGCGAACAGATTTATGTGTTTCATTTTTTTTTTAAAGATAAGTTTCGGAACGAATTACTCCACTGTGGTATTCAAAATTATTTTTGAAAGGGTTTAGTATCCTGAATGTTATAAAATGAAACCGAGAATTTTTCAGTTCTGTTTCAGTAAAAATCGACAGAATTACCGTTAATCGAACGACATAAAACAAAGAGATAAGTGAACGATCCAGAAACTGCGCATTAGCAATGCTTGCAACGCAACAATTTAAACAAAAGAAAGGCAAAACTGGAAAATTAAAAGAAGTACAAGAACAAATCTATCATAAGTTGAGCAAGCTGTAGACCAAACCTGACAGGAAAAACAAAATTAACAAAAGAATAGTATATAAATGTTTTAAAACAAATACCAAAAGTAGATATATATTAAAACAGTATCCATTTCAGCAGTCACTGAAAAAGAAAAATAGAAACCGGGTAAACTGCTTTATGAGGTTCAAAAACTGGTTTTGATCTCAAACAAAATAATTTGTAACTTTTTAGCATCTGATCCTCTCTTATCTTTCATTTATGCTGAAATTACAGTCAGCCTAGTGTAATACTTAATGTATTTATAAAATGAGAAAAGCTAAAAATCAAATCCTGTTTTTAACAACTGATTTCTGCGTCATTGTAGTATAACGCTGTAAAGATGGCAAAGTAATTAATCATTTTGCAGCATTGTAAATACGCAATAATTTGGGGGTAGGCAAAATCAAGTTGATAACTGGAATTAATGTGACCGATTAGAATAGCAAAACGTTATCGGGGTAATAAAGAAGGCGATGGAGGTTATAGAAAGACAACAAGATGAATGATATTAGTGCTGATCGTCCATACATTACTGAATTCCATTTGGTTGAACAAATATTCTACCGACTGATTAGAAATCGTGATTTAGAAAAAAAAAACTAACAGCAACTAGAATGAATATAACAAAAATTGATTTACAGCGAACAGTCAATTTACAGAATATTAAAAAACAGTATGAATGAAAAATTAACGTGTAGCGACACCAAAAATTTACACGTCGTCAATAATCCTCAGTGACGGTGGCCGTTTTGATTGCAGATTTTCTCCTTGCCAGCACAACACTCGACCAGATACGAAGTTAACGAACAATCTCGTACAACGATTCGAAAAACTAATACTAAAAGAGAAAAATGATAGTGATGATAGCATTTGCTGGTACGTTTGCACAGTTTATCAATCAATCCAGCGCTATCTTATCAATTCATTAATTTTAACAAAAATAACAGCTATTGTGGGAAAAGATGAAGACTTCAAAAGACTACCTGAATATTCGTTAATTTTTAGAAGGAAATCAGCTGACTACTAAGATCTGTATAGTTTTTTTTTAAAAAAGAATTGCTCAGGCAAACCTGACAATAGGCTCAAGGAACCGGTAATCGACGATATCACGCACAAATCTCATTGTCCACATATCAAATATTCTGAAACCTTTTGCCGGATTGAAATCTTTTCACAACCCAATTACTGTTATTCGCAAAGTGCAAAAATGATGCCACCTAATTAAAAAAAAGAAACTAATTGATAAAAAATTTTTTGACGCTGGTTTGATTTCAAAATTCTTGTAAAAGTACAAATTTAACTCGGATTTAAAACATAGGTATGGTCATAAGTTTATCTCAGATTCAAGATATAGTGATGATTTACTGATTTACGAAAAGTTAACGAAGTAAATCAATTATATCGTGAGAAAAAGTTGAATATTTTATAACTGTCTACTCCTAGACATGTGCTACAAACAGGATATCATACCTAATCACTCCATTTTGCATTCCCAGAAAAATACAATTTACGGCAGTTCCTTCAGAAAGTGATGTCATAGCAACTGCAGTAACAACGATATCGGTATCGATACTACCGATTTCTAACCCGTTGATAGTCTGCAGTGTTACATGGCTCCCGTAACCTGCAGTTTTGTGCAGTTACATAAAAACAGTAGGGAAGAAAGGACTATTAAACCAGTGATCCTCGTACGTCGACCTTATGAAAAATGGAGATACGAGAAAAACAAGTTTTAAAAGTCCAACCAACAGTTACATGGAAAAGTCACTTAAACAACAATGAAAACCAAAAGAACTTGCAGAATCTAAAGATAAATTTTCGAAATATAACAATCAGATGAAAAGATTTTCAAATATAACAAACAAGAAATTATACCGGAATATGCCACGATAGCCACGTCACAGCTAGTTCGACTTATACAAATGAACTGCACTTCCTTTCCATTACTCGGAACAAGAGTTCGAATATATGATAAACGATTTAGATCCCAAATGCAAATTTTGCCCATATCGCAACCACTAGCCATAACAGCAAAATCACCACAAACTGCTAATGCCTGTACTGCAGCATCGTGAGCGTATAACGTTTTTAAAAGCACAAAATCCTTCACACCCTGCAAAGCAGAAGCTATAAATGAGTAAAACATCTTCCACAAGTCTAAGATCAAGATGGAGCAGGAAAGTAAAAACAAAGAATGGAAAATAAAAGCAAATAATTTAATAAACTTACAAATTCGTTTAATAGTATGCGATAAGTGAGTATAATACCGCATGAGAGTCCCACAAACAGTAAATCAAATGAAACACAATAAGCTGCTGTTACCACCTGATAATCAAATATTTTGCATAAGAAAAATAAGTTAAATTAGTCCATGTGCATTTCTGTTTAAGTTTTAACAGCTTATAAAAAGCATCACAACTGTGTCTCTTATAAACTAAATCGCCAGCAACAATGTATGAAGTGTGTAAGCTTGAAAAGAAGTGAAAATTTCAGCGAATTTCCTTCATTTGGCAGATGTAACAGCGAGGAATAGTATGACTATTTCATTTAGATCAAGCCCTATCACTTTAGTTCCATAAAGGTTAAATTCAAGTTTACGGAAAAAAAAAACAAATAGCTCCTTCCCTGCATATTTTCCAAACATTTTAAGCTATGAAACATAAGATTCCAACATATACAGTAAAATACGGCACAGTCATCAAGACAAGAAAAAACAACTTACATTATAGGTATTATAACTGGCCAAATCCCACCATAGTTTCGGTTGGTGAAGACGCAATCGAAGTATTCCATCATTGTACCGCCATGTTACCAATCCATAACTACAGAGATCTCGTATTCGGACTTCTCCATACTGGAAAACTTTATATTGCTAATTAGTGGAAAAAACATTAATAAAATAAGAAGAAATAAAAAACAATACTTTTCCTTCGCAGTTTAATTTTGCTAAGGATGTTTTACCAGTCGTCAAATATTTCTGAAATAACAAGGCTAACTCCTGACTCAATTAAGCATTGTCTTTCTAAAAAATTCTCATGAAAAAAAAAATGTTTCATCCAATTTCCCATTGATTGGATTATAATTAGTATGTATCTTAAACCTTACAAATAAAAAAAAGCGTGCAAAGTTAAACCTTACAAATAAAAAAAAATAAAAACAAATAAACCTTACAAATAAAAAACTAAACTTTACAAATAAAAAAAATCAAAAAAAAAAGAAGAAAACTATTTCAAACCTTATAAACAAAGCATGTATTGCTCGGAAAAGCAAAACAAGTTCCTTCTGAGAATGCAACAAGGCGACCAGAACAATTATTATTATACCGTAGTTTTTGATTTAGAACGACGACTAACTTTCCTAATTCAGAATCCGGACTCCCGACAAATTCACCCCATCGTATCCCTTTGACCGTATCAAGTGGGCTCTGAAAATTATATCCGAGTTTTGGTTTCAGCAACATCAAAGGTAGAGTGAATCGGCGTCCAACAGTGATATGCTATTGGTAAGAATATCTAATTCTGGATAATTCAAAGCTTTATATAACAAAACATCTTCCCTTTTTACTGTTCTCAGTCATCCGAATTTGCTGGGTAAGGAAAAGATTCCTAACACACCGAAAAAGTTTTTGAAATTTTACCAACGAAGATTTGGAGGTATTTTGATGTAGTTTCCCATACAAACGTGGAAGATGAGGTGAATGAAAAAGCTGCAATGGCATTTGTCCATAAGTTTGTATCATAGCTCGTAGTGCGGAGGTCGATAAATCATCAGATTCGTCATTTATACCATTCATCGTATTCATCCTGTACGTCTATAATGTCATCAGTTATGATCCAAATTTTGTAAATAAATAAATGTAAAGAATGACATGACTAGACAATGGACCCAGTTCGACTGTTAATATCACCACAACAGCGGTCATTTACGAAGTCATAGAAGTGGTCAACCAAAACTCACAGACAATGCACAGAAAGAACAGCCAGTAATCAACCACTCAGAACACATCTCCCCTCCTTCTTTCAGTATCCACGTTGTCAATAATGTGGGAGGAAAAAAAGATTAGTGACAAAAAAGAAATGAACAAATCATAAAACTATGCTAAATACCGCGGGATGAAACACATTGATTGCATCGATCGCAGCCTTTCCCGTTTGCTTATAGCCAAAAATGAGATCAATCCAGTAATTCAGCGTTGATGAAACAACAGACGATTCAAGTGCCTGTCGATGAATAAGCACAAATAAACGTGCTGATCCCTGGCACCTAAAATAATCCAAAGAGATAACTAAAATATACATGGCATTTTAGCATTCTATTAAGTAAAAAAGAAATATAATACGAGAGAGGTATTAGAGTAATCCAGGATTTCGAACTTATTAAATACCTTAGTGTCATCTCGTTTTGATAACTTTTCTAGTAACCTGTCACTCATTCAAATACCACTCATTCAAATACTATTCAAATATCACATTTGGAGCAATTGAATTTCCACGGCGTATAAATTTTTGAATTTTAACGGTCATGATCGAGATGCAAAAATTAGAAATTTACAACGAATTCGATACCATGTCGGCAGAATAACATCGTCCACAATATCGCCATTTTGGCGTACTCCCAAATTCAGCTTTTCTTTATTCATCAAAAAATCAGGCAAATAGAAGAATTCAGGGATAAGTTCCTTAAAATCAGTGGTTGAATCAAAGCTTGCCAAACGCCATGTGGTTTCAATTGAATTGAATAACCGATCAGCAATGTCGAAATTGTTGTCTATAAAGTGATAAGAACGATCATGAGGTCCAATTAATTTGGAGCATTTAACAGCCATTTTTTAATGAACTTTCAATCCAAAGATTCACCACTTCTTTGAAGACTCGAAGTTCGTCAAAGACGGATTAATGCAGCTCACGCGCATTTCTTTTGGTTTTTAAAAACCTTTAATCGAGTCTCGATCACAGGCATAACATGATCATTCGTTGGAACTTATTTATCAGAGTGATGTGAAGCGTATTGAAAAAAAACATACGTTTGCTGATATTGGAAGTTTGGTTTAAAAAATCACAGGTCAAAAAAAAAAAAAAAACCAAAACCAAAATAATTTACCTTGATATTCAAGTGCAATATCAGTGAATGGTGGTAATCTAACAAGATAATGTGCAACGATGCCAATATTTGAATAATGGCTTCCATAATGATAAGGCCCAAACATAAATGGTGAACAACCAGGGGATGCTTGAACTTCTTCACGAGCTAGATAACTGTATTTTCGGAGATAGTATTCTTCTAACCGTTTATCCTGAACTGCCATCGGGCGGCTTAAATCCCTGCAATTTGGGCGTGAGATTGATAGATGGCATACGGAATACTTAAGCTTGCAATACTTTAGTAAAAAGATATTATTTCAATGCAATTCATTTCGACAATATTCATGATATTATTATTAAATAATGTAGCTAGATTTGCTTTCGATTTCTTCAGAACTTCACAACACATTTAGTAATATATCGCTTCATGCATCTTCCTACATTCTTATTACTAAAAGGCACTAGCAATGAGTAAAGTTTAAGAGTAATCTACGAAACATGTTAGAGTCACTATGTGGCTAGGCTTGCGTGGTTCCCTTGTACTTGGTACCTTCTCGGACAAAAACTGTAAAATCTTCGTGGATAAAAAATCCCATACACTGGAAGGTAATCAAAGCGTGCTGTAATATTAAATAAATCTGTTTTACAAAACCCATCAAACAGTGATAAACAATGCTAATCAATTTGTCAATTGAATACTAAATGAGCTAATCATCTCGAAGTTATCAACTGAACGTCTACCATAAACCACACCTACTTCAATTTTTCTTCAAAAGCTTCCAGAGTTATCTATCAAAGTTGTACCACAGTCGTCTCCTTATTACAGCTGTAATGTTAAATATCAAGCGTTACCTTAATATGATTCACACTCACCTTTTTAATGACAATAAACTTTCAACCCATCACAACCTAAGAAAATTTAAATTAACCTAAATGACACTGGATTTTTGAGGTTCAATACACTGGATTTATAGTCTGACAAAACAAATGGAAACACTGGGTACTGCATGAGATCATTATACGAACGACCAGCCAATTTGTTTAAATGCATCAAGTATCTGAAATAAAAGGAGTCACAAAGCAACTGAACGATCAACGATGATAGTTTTAATTTTGAAACTGACGGTTTCAGAAATTCATTTATTAGACTCTAACTTACCTGACCACCTGTCAGATTTTGGAGTAACTTTAATTGCTGACAAAGTTTTACCTTGGATTTCAAAGCATGTGCTGCTGTTAGAGAATAATGTTTTGAAAGTGGAAAACTAAACTAGCGCAAATCAAATTAAATATTTCAAATTAAGTTCCATCAAACTTGAACAAAATTCGCCTTGCAATTCGAACTTTCCCTGACAAAAAAGAATTAAACCCCAGTTAATAAAGAAACACAGTAAAACAGATTAAGTCTTGTAACAGAAACTAACTCGAAATTGGTGATAGTTCCTTCCCGCCACAATTGTGCGGTTGATTGTACAGATACGTCCGAAAAATCAGATAACTTACATAATTCGGATGACAATATTTGCAAACCGAATTGATCGCGCTTCTGAAATACAACTTCTTTGGATAATGAACTATCCAAGAATGAAGTTCTTAAAATATCTTGGAAAATGTTCCGAGGAATTACTTCTGATCAAAGAAATTGAGCTGATCACAGAGAATAGAAGAGAAAAAAAATCAGAATGCTTGTGAAAAAGCAAACATTCCTTTTTCATAACAAAGTGAAATTGGTTTAAGACAGAGGAAAACGAGTGAAATTTATCCTACTGGTAGTAGCTGAATACTGACCGCTTGTTCCTCGAAAACAATCAGATAAGTTTGGCCATCTGACAAGAAAATTTCCAAAGCGATATCCTTCAAAAGATGATGCCGTTTATAGATTTCAACCAGATCTCTATAGCTCCATCGAACAAACAATGTATTTGCACGATTTAATCTCTTCTAGAAGTGAAATCGTTCAATAAACAAGAACAACAACACTTCTAAAACCAAATAACGCAGAAAACAAGAACATGAATAAAGAAACGTAAAGTCGTTTTATGTGATTCTACTTCAAAAATTCAAAGTAATCTATGGCACGTAACATCAAGAATTCTAACAAAGAATTTGTCTTGTTAAGTCTTCACAGACTAAAAACAAGAGTAAAACTGAATATTTGATATGTTTTCATAACAGTTCATCAAACAGATCAGCTGATAAATAAAAGTACATCAGCAAAGCAAAAAGCAAACCTGTACGGATCTTGTGTAATCACTGTGAAAGTAAAATTTTTTGTCACCAGCAAGAATTTCACCGCTACTTTCAACCGTCGATCTCACAATCACAGCCGGTAGTGATAAGATAATACGTTCACCAGGTACTAAACCATCTTCTAAGCTCAATTCATTCATGTTTCCTCTTAGATCGTTCTACAAAAAGAAATACACAAATCTAGTGTATAAATTAATCTCTTAACTTATTTTATATTTAACTATACAATTCCTAGCGTTTTAGGCATTATTGAACTGCATCCACTACGATATATATTAGTACAGATATTATTAATAATAAAGTCCCAAATCAATAGAATGTTAGAAGAAAATAAGTGGCTTATTGTAGCGGCTTAATTTTTACATCTTTTTCCAAGAAAGGAAAGTGGAAAAATTGCTTGGGATTTTATACAGTTTTCAATCGTTCTATGAGGATATTATCTTTGCTTTAAACTAACCAATAAATGAAATAGAGGGGGAGATTCTTCTCGTTTTTTGATCTTGTTTATCGATTGTGGTCGTAAAAATTTGATGTCAAAGGACAAATGTGAAGATATCAATCTACGACGCTCTCTGTTTGGTCCTTCTGTAGGGTCAAGTGCCCAACTTGATGGCCATGATTTTGGGTCATGAAAAAGACCTTCTGCATGACAAAGTTCTGTCTGTAATATTGGATGTTTTTATAAAACAGTCAATAAAAACTGATGTAATTGACACAGCAGTCCTAAGAAGTCTGATGACATAATGAAATAATTAAAAGTTTTAAGAGTTCCACATATTACTTTTCCTTCACAATGTTTATGATACTTTTGTTTAAAACTCCTGTGTATCTGCGATACGCTTTCTTTGATAATTTAAGATGATGAGATCAGCAATTCATTAGTAGACAGACAAATACATGATACGAGTTATATCTTGAGAGAGTACGAGATGACAAGTTACATTTGTTTAGAAAGTGAGTAGCTCGAGCTGTACAAATTACCAACATATGAGTGTCTAGTTAAGCAACCACCTGCAAAGAATCTCTAATTTTGATATACTAAACAAAATCACCAATAAGTTGTCCAAAAATAGCTCAGCAGCCACATTTTTTAGTTCTGATTCTTGATAAGTTTTCATGAAATTTCTTCGCAGCGAATTTTGGTCTTCCACAACTCGACATGTTATTTGCATCGCTATCTATAATTTATAATAATATACAGCACAAACTAAAATGTAATTAGCTGAATACAAATATCTCAATTAGATGAAAAGTGACATAAAGTTAGGTGATAAGCAGCATTCTACATTTAATGTAATGTGGTGCGATGTCGCTTCACGTCATGAGGAAAATCACTTCACTTATTCACAATATTTATTCGAAAAACCGGAAATCAGGATTTGAATGAAAACATCTAATTAAGGACCGTATAAAATTGAGAGAGTCGCATAAAAGTTAAGCGATTTAATATTTCTAAAATAACCAAAAGAAATTTTAAACCTCGCTTCGAATCCTTATTTGTTGTTTCTCTTTAGCAATATAACGCGCTGCCCTTTGTTGTAGCTTTGCTAAAAATTTGTTACGGTATTCCAGATAGCCATGAACAGCCAATGATTCATCCACATTCAAAGACGTAAATCGATCTAGAAACGAAATTTGCAAACTACAACGTCAAAAATACCTTGTTAAACTATGTGTTGAATATATGAAAACAGAGGCTCAACAATAATTAGTTTATCTATCCTTCAAGTTACACTAGATTAATAGTACCGACTGATTATTTCCCATAAATGCATAAGAAAATTTACTCTAATTAAATTTACTCTACTTTAAAATTCACTTTAACTTCATAAGAATTTACTCTTCTTTAATATTCTATTTAAGAAAAAAGTAAAAATTTACTGTTTTTCTAGATTCATCTTTTCAGTCACGTCTTTTCTACCGAATACGGCCTTAGTATTACGAATACAGAAGTGGAACTTTTTTCCGGCAGTGCATTGAAATATAAAAGGGGCCTTTTGGCCTCAAATTCTAACAGTTTTAATTATAAGGTGATAGGTATCCCTAAAGAAGTGGAACGTGAAATGAACATCATTACAAATGTGATTCTTGTGAAAAAAATTTAATACCGGCATCTAAAGTCGCCAGAGGAGATTCAATCTGTAATTTTCTTAAAAATCTAATTAAATTTTCAATATCTCTCTGAATATTCAAATCCTCGACAGTCTCCAACAATGCCAATTCGTGCAACGACAAATTTAAAGCACAATGATATTCCTTAAATAAATCGCAGTGAAAACCCTTGAAAAAGCAGTCATGTTTCCGTATTCGAACAGAAACTGTGAGTAATTCTAATCTTAAAAATGAAATCTAAAAAATCTTTTTTTAATTAACTTCAATATATGAATTAACGACAAATTCTAAAACTATAACTGTTCGGTTAGAGATGTTGTTAGATATCAAAAAAAGAAATTTCTAAACCAACCAGATTAGCACCAAGAAAGAATTTCAGGTGCTTCCTGTTTGACATTAATGTCTCTACAATCATCATACGTTTTTTCATTTCCCAGCTGTTTTCCTGGAAAAATTATATAAATTTCACATTTCTATGACTAAAAAGTATAAAAACCTCTCATCAAATATAAATTTTAAAAAAAGTGGGCAAAGGAATCTGTCCTTTCAACTTATTTGAAAGAAATTTGCTTTATTTTTGAAATCTGTTCTTTAATATTTTATAAAAGAAAACCAACATTTCCTCCTGTATTCGGCTTGGTGCAGTTCCATTTGTTAGCTTTTGCTGATGCCGGAAAAAGTATAAAGGCAATAAGTGGACCAAACAAATGTCCGACACGCTCGTGACATGCGTTTATTAAACGTTGTTTTTTGTTAAGATGCACAAAAGTTATTGCTCGAGTGTCATCCTGAAAGGAAATAACTCTTTTGTCGTTAATAGGCATTAAAGTAAAAGTACGTATATATATATATATATATATATATATATATATATATATATATATATATATATATATATATATATATATATATATATATAT